CCCCAAAACCCCAAAACCCCAAAACCCCAAAACCCCTATAAATCAGCAACTCGTTGAAGTCAAATTAATTAAAATCTGTAAAAATGAAGGACCATCACCACAAACCTTACCTGTGCAAGAAGGTAATCTACTCAAATTAATTAGAGATAATACATACAGCTGCTTAGAGGACCTGAAAAGTTTTAACCGGAGAGAGTTTCACTAAATTTAAAACAATTTTATATTGTAACAGCTAGAAATTTTCACCGACCCTTGCCCGATACATGTATGACGTTAAGAACTTCTGTTTGATTTTAGGCATAAAAAATTATTGGGGCAATCTTTATCTTACCCTTATAGGCTCAAAAGACCCTTCTTCGATGGTATGAATCTAATTGCATTGAGAGTAAGAAATCTGAAAAGTCAATGGCTACTACCAAGGTATCAAAAGAAATCCATGATCTTAGCCCTTTTATCAAGCAATGGCTTTTCCAAAATGATTCTTTTGGTAATGACTGATCTAACTCATAGTTTAGATTCAAAAAGTAGCATTAAAGATGACAAAATTGATTTTAAGCATCAAGAATATCAGAATTATTTACTCTCGAAGCAGTTAGAGTTTAAGAAGTATAGGTTGAACATTTTCTACCTTAACCAGTAAGTCCTCCTACCTTTGATCAACGATTGACTATTTCTGAGCACGATCTAATGCTTTTATAGCTACGCTTTGAAAATTCAGCACACAATCTTCAAACTGTCAATTCTAAAGAAGTTAAAGGCATCTAAATGCCCTTGTTGAAACAAGCCAAGGAATCCAAAGAAGAAGGTCAAATAGAACTGGCCATAGATTAGACTGCATTTGCCTCAAATGAAGTAGTCTCTTAATGAAATAATTTGTTTAATTTAAAATCGAAGATGGAAAAGCATCCTCATTCTAACAGGCTGAACACAACTTCTTACTTAAATGCTTTCAATTGACAAAAGGATATTAGCACAACATCTGGAAAATGTAAGTGTTAACATAACACAATACCTTTACAATTTAATAAATAAAAAATCTAATAATTCCATAGTAAAATGTGAAGAGCCAAAACACTTAGATGTCGTAGAAGCCTACGGTCACTTCAACAATATCTTTAAAATCCCCCAAAAAATCGTCAAAAGTGCCTTTATCTACGACTCTGCCCTCCCAAATACCTCAAAAAGCCTTCAAAACAGCTCTAACACCCACAACACCTCCACTGAACCCTTTTAAAACTAAAGGCAACGGGAGAGATAGGAAGTCTATGGGATATAAGTAATGGAGTGGTGTAATGTGTAGGAAAGGTGTCAACTCAGTTGAGAGAAATATATCAAATTCGTTTGTATCTCCGAATAAATCCAAAAATTTTCATTCAAATTTTAGATCTATTGGGTATGAAGAGCAGAAAAGTTTTGGTAATAGGAGAGATAGTGGAACTTATGCTCGATGTAACTCAAATATTGGTTAACGTATAGCAAACAAGGCTGTAAACTCTATATCAGCCATTATAAACACCAGAGAAATGACAATAAAGGTCAGTCAGAATCCAGGAAATTCTACCGTTAAAAAGCCTCAAAACCACAACAAAAAACCAAAAGGGAAGAAGAATCCTATTTCTAGCAAGTTTGATAACAGTAATGGACATTGCTGATCTAACTCTATAGTAATCTCAAAGAAAGGCCACTTGAGTGGATACAATCACAGTCAGGATTATAGCTTCCCAGTAAAAAGTTTGAACCCAAGAAAACTTCAAAACTCTAAGTCAAGTGGGAAGCTGAATAAAAAGTTAATTTCTCAAAGATCGAATGATCAGTGGAAGAAAAGCAAAGGTGGATCAAGGGTTCTTAGTAAGAACGCTTCGGTCTCTAAGAAGAGAACAAAGTCATCAAATAGAGCCAAAGAAAATGAGTTCAAGACTGTTCTCAGACCCACTCAGATGAACAATATCTCATCAGAAATGGGAAATCACACAAGAAAATCAGAGAAATTTTACCTAAAGCCCTTGAAAGAAGAGTTCACATATGAAAAGGATATACTTAAGCCTTTGATTGCACCTCATAATCATGTAATACTGAAAGAGAACTACTCTAAAACAGCATCTAAAATCCCAAACAGGCAACATGGAAGCAGGCAAGAAAATTTATCACCACAATCAGTGATCTTAAAAGAGAATGGATTGGACAAAATCACTTGAGACATATTTAAATCTCATGAAGGAAGTTCCTCCCATCAGAGCGATGAGTCCTCAAGAGTGAACTCTAGTGAGAAAGAATCTATGAAGCTTTCTCTCAGTCAGGCTACGAAGTATCTCAAGAAGCAGAAGAAGTGTTCAAAGAACTCTAAAATGTACATGACTCATGAAGGATGAAGAAAAGTTATTAGGTATAACCCGAAGTCTAGATCTGAAAAGACAGATCTTTCTCAAGCAGAGTTGGAAGTTCATACTAAAACATCAGATCTTCCTAGTTCCCAAAGACCGATAGAATCTAAAGAAATAGATCTTGTCCATGATATGGAGTTATTTGCACAGGAAAGCTTGCAGAAACCCATAAATAATGAGTCGATTAATGATTCCAAAGTTTGCAAAAATCAGGAAGTCTCTCCAAATAAAATGGCTTCAAAGAAAACTTCTCCAAAGAAAGTACTTACTTCAAGCCCTTTTGAGCTAGCTCTTGAGAATGGAAAGAAGCCAGATGAAGAGGCCATCAAGGATTTTGCATCCTCAACCAATCTTCTTTCAATGAGTAATGAAATATTTGATGTCTTGGATTCCTCCAACTTAGTTGGAGAACTTAGAAGCAGCTTGAGCTCACAGACCTCCCAGCCTGATTATGACAACATGGCGATGGAGGCATGGGAAGAAGTTGATAAAATTAAAGAAGAAAAGCCTCCGAAACAAGTGAAACTCCATAACTACACAACCCCTGATTCTAACTGGGCTGATGACTACAATAATGGATTTCCTTCCAAGATTAATACAAACGATATTGATATTATTGTCGAAGATTTTGAAAACGAGATCGATTCCGATTACAGCATGACTATAAACTCTAAAAACCACAGAAGAATTTTGTCTGATTCGATTGCTAATGCAGGCTCTGAGGGTGAGGTAGAAATCCTCGGATGTTCCTAAAGGAACAGCTAAAGTACCCATCTAAGGTAGGGTATTCTTGGTATTTTCAAAATACCTTGCCCAAGAAGATGGCATAAAATTAATTTTAGTTGCCTCATACTTTGAAAACAGTTAACATTCATTTATAAATTTCAGATGCGGGGTTTTGGGGTTTTGGGGTTTTGGGGTTTTGGGG